CCTGCTGCTCATTCTGGCTTCATTTCAGTCAGAAACTTAACTATGCACTCACTTGGGAGGAACTTTAAATCGTCCAGCATCTAGCCTTCAAGCTATTCTTGCCCTGCCCCAACGAAAAATAACTTGGGATTTTTTTCAGCCTTACAAGTTCCCTTATGTGGTTCAACAGCACGGCCTCACAAACAGTTACTGCAGCACATCGGAGGCAGCGGAAGTAAGGGGAAGAAGCAAACAGGCAGGAAACACTGCAAGCGGGCACTGATGCCAAGAATAGCTCCACACGCATTAAGTTAAGTATTTTGCCAGACTGACACCTTCCTCCTGTGTCTTTTGATCAATAGTGGAAATTACTATGTTTTCATTTCCTTTGACTAGTTAGAATTTCATTGTAAATGTTGCAAGTCATTTTTATCTATGATAAAGAATTAATTTCACTATGAATTAGGACAGAATCTAGATGCAAATGATACCTGTGGCACATTAAATGTTGGATGAGCTAAAGTTAATACAGAGACAGAACTTTCTGTCTTTGTTGTTTTTAAAGCAAAAAATTAACTGTATTTTTAGCTTCCTCCTGCCTTTCTGGCCTGAAAAAAATAGTCTATACTAGAAATAACAATTCTTTGTTTACAAAACAAAAATAACGTTAACAACAGAAGCACAGATATTGGGGGCCAAATACAAACAAGAGAATCCCACCCCAATTAGTACACAGATGGGTGTCCCTGCTAAAACGGGTTCCACCCATTCACACTAATAGCTGGAAGCTTTATAATTGTAACTACATATTAAGCATTTTCTAGTACTCCTGTTATTATGACAAACCAGGTCTAGGTAGCAAGTGTGTCACCACAACTATTTTACAAATAAAAGTGGGCCTAAAATGTGGTTTCCTCAATCAGCATTTAGCCAGGCTCACTCCCAGAGGCCTTCTGCAGTCTTGTGGCTCTTCTTTAGGATCTCTATAATAGGCAAGGGCAAGGTAAACGCATCACATCTCTTACCTGACCACAGTTATGAAGGCTCAAATCTAGTCCACATGTAAATTCTGTATGATGCTCAACAGTTTCCAGCAAAGGGTTAGGCTTGGAAAAGTCCCAAAATCTATAGAGAGAGAGTGTGAGAGAGAGAGAAAGAGAGAGAAATCAAACAAACCACAATTAAAGTAATTGAAAGGCCATTCTTAAAATATAATGCAGGATATTGACAAATCTGTTGCTGCCAGGATATTTTAAAAAGCAAACTCATCCACTTAGGAAATATAACTAATCCTATTCCTGCAAAGCCATCTGCTGATTTGCATAAATTAAATCTCACTGGGCAAAACCATCTTTCTTTCCCTGTTGCAGAAACTGAGATCAAAGCTGGCACCAACGAGCAGCCTTAGACACATTATTAAACAAAACAAATGTAAGCTAGGATACTCTCGATAGCTGGAGAATTTTATCCCTGAAAGCTGTTAGCGCAACTTATGCTTTTCTCACTGTTTGGTATTGCTGCCTATGACTTGTTTATTTACTGAAAATTGAGTTCATTTACAGATACTGGTTACTCCTGTTCTCAAATTTCAGACAGTGCTTCCGTAAAACAAAATATATTATTATAATTTAATAATACATTTGTATTACAAAGGTCAGTTGCATTATACTGTTAATTCCACTAATTTATATTTCAAAAATAAACTTTCCTTTCTAAGCTCAGTTGATAGAAAGGCTTGGAAAACAGATTCCTGAAGTGCTCCACTTCTCCCAACTACTCCCCAAGCAGATGCACTGCTCATCAGTGCAGTTAACAACAAGGAGAATGGGTAAAAGAAGACAGGACAAAAGTATGAGGTACGAGAAAACTCAATTATGAAAAACGGATTCAGCAAGTTTCAAGTTCTGAGAAACAGAACTTTCAAGATAATGATATACTGACAAGGCACCATATCCTAATGGAGACACACAAAAACAAGATTTTACTCTTGTTCGGGTTGTATAGTACAGCTTACTGAGAAGCCCATAGGCTGCAGAGCACAAGGCATTTTGTGAAGTGGCAGCTGTAATCACATTCTCTCCATTTCAAATTTTCTCACAGTGGTCAATCATGTGCTTTAGTTTTTCTGTACCAATCATACCATACCCTCTGGAGGTCTCTTTGCCTCACTCCCATTGGGGAAAGTGAGAATAATTAGTAAGAACAGTTGTTATCAGACCAACTACACTGAAAAACACTGTATATTCAAACAGCCAGTTCAGGTAAAACAGCAAACACTGGAGCCAACAGGGTTAGTTTGTTCAACGTGTAGATGTTATTTCCTTAATAAATGAGCGGAGTGGTATCAGCACAATGGTTACGCCATAGCAACAACCCTCTTAACTTTCTCCTAGTACCTGAGATCCAGGATAAACAACTTGTTTTGCAGGAGCGAGGAACAAAAGACCATCTCAGCACTTTCATTCTCACACGTCCGTTCATAAGATGGCAAGGAAACAAATCTTTCTATTGCTAAAAAACAGTGGTAGCCTTCTCACTATATTAGCTCTCTGCTATCTCTTTCGAAAAGACAGATCTGCATAACTGAAAATTAAGATTAAAGGAGGCAAATCCAGATCTATGTGAATAGAAACTTGGAAAAGACTTTCTGATCAATTTTAAAAATAGAGTAAGGCAATCTGGTGCCTGTTGTATGAAGTCACGTTTGCATGAAGTCAGAAGCAGCATACAATTTAAGAGTAGTACAACTCAGTTCAAGTCCACAGGCAGCGTTCTGTCTGGGACCTTTGTTCTGATTTAAAAATGATCATTACTGAAAGGCCAAAAAGTTTACAACGTCAGGACTGAGAACCACTGGCATCAGGTTAGCAGTGGCTCTGATAACAACTTATGCAGCATGTAGTGAAAAAAAATGCTGTTTGTAGGTCAGCTTCCAAACCTAACATGAAGGCTACAATATTTTGCTCAACATCAACTTTTGTCGCATTCTGGAGACTTAAAGCGCAGTACAGTATTTCTGAGATAGCTTTTACGCCAGTAGGATAGCTATACAACAAAACGAAGATGCATTCATGCACAAATACGTGTACTTGCACTACTTTAATTTTAAGTAGATTTATGCGATTGGCAGCATGAACTTCGGCAGTGGGCTAGACAACCACTTATACTGCTACGGTTCATGGCAGGTTTGTACCTCCTGTGCAGTCAGAGGTGGGCCAACACGATGGAACTGCCATTTTTACCCTTATTATATAGATTAAAACTAGCACCCACAATTACAGTTACCGTCTGCACTGACCATACAGACATCCCACAATCTACTTCTGAGTGCATTTTCTTAAATGTTTTTTAGCTAGATCTGTTAAGAGCAATGTAAGTTCACCTTTTCCTTCACTCTTCCAAAATCTCACCTTCCCTAATTGGTCCTCATTTGTTTTACATGTACTTCACAAGCATTTCGTAAGCTGCATGTACTTTGTAAATGAACTGCTTATTCTTAACAAGGCATTATGTGAAGAGAACAGGCCTGGCTTCCTATGGATTTTGTACTTTGTCCCTCCCATAGCAATACCACAGAGATCCACTACCTTGCTATATCTCTTGTGTCCCCCTACCAAAACACTCTTACGAACCCTCAGTATAGTTTCTCCTACCTACCTCCCAACCACGTCCTCCTCCGTGCTCTAGACTTAGCTCCCACCTACATCCTTTAACCACTGGTTGGGCAGCGTGCATGGTTTCAGGTCCCAATGCACATAGTAGTATAATGCAGTACAATACATGTACTATTCCTGCACGCTGATTAGCTAGCCAGCAAGCCTAGCAGATTTGACAGGTGGTGAATTCAGTGTCTTTTGCTAAGGTAATGCTTTGGGGCTCTCTCTCTCTAGCATGAATTTCTATTATAATTGTACGAGTTTAGTGAATTTAGACTACAACCTATCAAACAGTTAAATTTTCAGCAGGTTCTAAAGTTACTCAGGGAAATGATTTGGGGGAAATGGATAGATGGAAATACAAAGAATGCAGCGCTCGCAGACTGTTTCCTTCGGAGGAGGGGAAAAAAAGAAAGTTGTGATAAATATTCACGCATGAAAGTTTCTAGGTTTCATATAGAAGGTGTCGTCATTAATTACATTTAATTTTAAGAGGACAAGAATCAGCTAATTATATGCTGATTTCCATGCAATCCCACATGAGCACTAACTCAAGGACCAACACCAGCACACGCATGCAACCAAATCAGACAGGCAAAGATCACAGTAGCATATGGATGTATCTAACCAGGAAGTTTCCAAGAACAACCCAAAACTCAAGGTTAGTTTACTTTACATGTCTATTCTACAACTCCTTCTCTTGCTCCTATTTTCTAATCCCCGCTCAACGCCAGCTACCTTTAAAAGGACAAGTTGCTCCTGCAAACTAAAAAAAGCTTCTTTTTGAGCAGAACTTAGTGTTAAATTACTTCCTGAATATAACCCAACTCAGGACAATGTTGTTACTTCAGGCAATAACTAGAGACATCTAATTACTTCCACAATAATATCATTAACAGATGATTTCATTACAGGATAATTTCACTAAAGTCTCAACATTATGAAGCAGCTCAGGTATGGAGGAAAGCCTTTATTCAAAGTGTTATCTCCCAGAAGTATCAAAGAAAAGAGGAAGGATCGCTTGAGGGCCAAATCAAATGGGATCCAAAAAAGTAATTTTGAAATATGTTTTGAGTGCTCCAACAGCATAGTTCTGTAAGGACTCAACTTATATGCTTTACTTTAAAGCAATTACTGCTGAAATGCCAACTTTGTATTTAGTTTAATTCCTATTTATTGTATGGGAAAATAAAGCACATCACTTACACAAGTATCGGACCCTGCTCTGATGGAACTGCAATTACGCCACTGGCTTCACTTACTACATATTTGAGTTGATGTCCTGACCATGAAATTCAATGCAAACATTCTTCTATATGGTATAACAGCAGACTACAAGTACGTTTGTTTCAGTTCTTCAGCTACAATACAGTATAGGACAACTTTTAAGAAACTTCATCATTAGCCTTCATGGCATCCCTTCTGCTTTTGAAGAACTTCAAATTCACAAGGCTTACCAGTACCTTTAACGTTCTCTTCCGAATACAGATTTAAGTATAATTCTCCTCTCCAGCATACGCTTAAACCCAATCTGAGAAAGTATTTGTATCATTACTGTATCATTATTGCATTGTATCAGCCAAAGATCCTAAACCAGAAACAGAGTGCCCTAAAACACAGGGCATACTAACAAAATGAAGATATTTCTCCTTACTAAAAACTTCAATCTGACTTAACAAATGCAAGTGAGAAACCCCATTTAAATGAGTAAATGACTTCTCTACTGCTGTTAGCTTCAAGTCAACACAAGGCGCAGCCCAACATGCCGCATCTAATCTTGAAGGGACAAAGGCGTGAACTTCTATGAGCTGGCTGGCGTACAACATTAACAACTTTTTGGACAGTTATGAACAGCGACAGCTTCATTGCTGCTGATACACAGTAATTTAATTGTAGCTACAACAGTCAACATTATCCTGCTTACTTATTCCTGGATTTCTCCCCAAAGTATGAATTAAACAAAAGAGGATGCAAAACCTTAACTTAGGGACATACATGGTCTTATCAGAGCCTCTAGTTTTCAAACTCCTCCATCCTTTAGTATCCCAGTTCTAGACTGGAGTCTCAGTTCACCACTTTGACTCATGCCCTACTCTTCATCAAACACTGGCAGAGGCATGTTGGCTAAAAACGGTAAATCAGATGACTGAGAAATACAGATGTGGGTGTTACTGGCACACAGACAATACTGTAGGTATGTGTACTCTCTCTCAGTACTTCTGTTTCCTCATGTGGCCATAAAAAACACTAGCTCTACCTTTCATAAAGATAGAATACATTTATAGAGAAAGATTTACACATACCCATATGACAAGCTGAAAAACAGCAGCTACACAATCAAAAAGTAAAAGGGGTTATTTACAAGCAAAAAAATGCACTTTCAACAAGTAAATTATTCAGATGCTGCCACAAGTAAATATTTAAGTTTTAATTACTAATATTTAACAATGCTTACAGAAATAGACCTCT